AGCACAGATGTAAAAATTTAGCACAGAACTTGTTATTTTTTTTAGTTTTCCTTCTTTTATTATTATTAGGATTATGACATTATTCCGGCAAACGAGCGATATGTGTGCTGTCTCCATTTAACATAACTTGCTGCGTCTCCAAATGTGGATGCGAAAATATGCGTAAATGCGTAGAACTTGTATTTATTTTATAAAAAAAAATATCTCAATGCTAAGTGCAATGCTTTGTTTATAACTAATATTATTACTTTCACTAAATCAGCACCTGTGACATTGAACGTACTGTTAGTTTTCGAATTATTTTATTCATTCACTGATGCTGTAGTTTAAGTATTTATCATGTATGCAATCTGTATACATATTTAGTTAGCATGGGAAGTAAACTTTGGTTTGTATAATATTAAAAAAAACCTATAATTTCATAAATAATTATTAATATCAGACACATATCTACCTTTGATAAGCTTTTAAATGTGTTGTTTGTTGTGTCATTATAAGTAAATTTTCGTAAACAACAACAGCCAAAAAGCAAATTGTCTTAGTTTTCGGAGCATTCGATTTTCAGCCCAGGATAAATAAGACTGCGGTTTTGAGGGACTCGATACTTGTGTCTGGTAGAAAAATGCTTATATGAAGATATTAAATTATTAGATTAAACTTGTTGTTATTTCCTCTTACGACACAAGTAGTTGTCTACAGCTTTAATTTAACCATTTTTGAAAGTTTTCATTTACCTTGCATAGTTGGATCTTGCATCATCAAATCTAGGACTTACCGGATGTGTTGATTGGATCAATAAATTGACTGTTTCACTGTCTAATCAAAACAATTTGGTTAGTAAAAAAAATTACAATTGTCTACACAGTTCATAGAAGCACTTGGTGTGAAGCGCGATTGTCCGTCGGATTTCAAGTCGGGAATAAACGAACTCGTATGTTCTTCGAAATTAAAATTTTCAACAGTGGCGTCTGCGTCGAGATGCTTTCACGCTAACTGTTTGTTGGATAACAGGAGATACTTGCTGTAGTTCCCGTTCACTTCAAGACCGATTCGCTTTGCTTTTATATCCATTTTTTATTCGGCACATGGTGAATACCTAGTAGTATGTATATTGTGGATTTACCAGGTCTAACGGGCCACACTGATAAAGCTCAATTAGTTCGCTTTTACGCAATAAGCTCGACAATATCATTTAGGCGGCTATTAAGACGCTGATTCGTGTAAGAAGTGTTTATCAGGCTTTTTCGTCGATTATCGTAAAACCAATCTAGTTTGTTGCTTTCTTAAAGTTTGAGTCATCCATGTCGTGGCCTGTGGTGCTAAGGAGCACGTGTATAGTATAGAGCTATCGATTGTATCGATGTTTTCCAATTTCATCCACGGTTGATGTTTTTTCTGTCACTAGCGATGGGGGTTTTTTTTCAAATACCATCTGTTAGAAAAATTTACATATTACAAATAACATAGTTTCGACTCTATTAATGAAGGTTTTATTTTCGTGAAATCTTATATAGCAGTTAATAAATTAAGGATTGTTTAGATGAAGGAGTAATTTGGTGAATAATTTATGTTTTTCAGCAGCATGATCAAATCAAATCAAATAATAATATTTTAGGTACATTTGTATAGATTTAGGTACAATACTTTCCTCAAAGTAGGTCAATTTGAAAATTTAAATTTCCATACCTGGTTCAATGTAATAAAATCGCACCACAAACTAGAACCAAAACTACAAAATGTAGATTGAGATTTTATTTTCTTTTTTAGTTAGAGTATCTGGAATAAAGTCCGCATGTTAAAAATTTTAAAAGCAAAAATTTCAAATTGGGAATTTTTCAGCCATTTCGCGATGTTTCTTTTACAATACTGATTTACGTGATGATTTTTTATGAAAATGTATCACGGTTTTGATTATCAGGTTTTTTTTTTGTGCATACTTACACATAACAACTATTTTGCTTGTACACACATAAATAGTATCCATGAAGGCTTTCTTAAAAAAATAAATAATGCTTTCAACCATGTACGAAATTAAGTGCAATATTATTTAAGTAGATCTCGTGTATGTATGTACATATTTGAATAATTAAAGGCACATTTATTGATCACTTGAAACTACATATAAAGATATTAGAAACTATTTAAATCTGACAAATGTGCACTTATAATAAAACTTATATTTCCTATGCATTTGCACTCAAAACAATTACACATTGATTGCACTCAAAACCATATTAAAACCCAAAACAAACATATCATTAGCCAACGATGTGGAAATGTTGCACTCGTGCAATGGCATACATAGATAAGTGGTGTGAGCTGTTACTACTCCTATATGCATACTACCAGTTACATACATACAATAATAATAATAGATTGGCGCTTACACATATTTATGTTAGTGTTTGGCCGAGCTTCTCCTCCGATTTGTGGCGTGCGCCTTGATGTTTTCACACAAAGTGGAGGGATCCACAGTTTTACGCCAACTCCGAACGGCGATTGTATTTTTATGAGAAGCTGTCTTTCATGGCAGAAATACACTCGGAAGTTTGTCATTGCCTGCCGAGGCGCGTTGCTTTGACCAGGGCTTGAACCCAGGCGATGCGAAGTGAAAGCGCGCACTGCTTACCACTAGACCACAGCGGCCGTTACATACACACACATATATATGTATTTGCAGTAATAAGTGCCCTTTGGATATGTACATAAGTATATTTTAATTATGTATGTATATGCAGAACTTTATTGATCGATGTGCATAAGTACATATTTATTTAAAAAAAATTTTTATTATTATATAGTAGATAATAAAAGGCTGAAAAGCAAGAAAGCAATATTAAAATTAAATACGTACATCTGTATGTATATGATCATAATGATTATGCAAATCTGTGGATCATGAAAAATAAATATTAATTTCCCATAATTACTGTGGTAAAGATAAATTGTGCTAATAACCCGAATTAATCACTGCAAGATTAAATAAATATGTACTATGTACATTAGACTGCATCACCAAAAAAAGTTGCGGTTTTTCCACCAAAATGTTTCGGAAAAATATAAAGATTTGCATGAACTGGACCGATTTGTAAATGCCACCGAAAACGGAGTTTTTTATGAATAAAAATAGTTTCTTAAAGTACTTAAAAAAAAACACTTCAGATGATAAACCAGTTTAAGCTTAAAAAATCTGCATGGAAATATTAAAAATTGTTTCAATGGAATTATAATATTGAGATTTTTAATCCGTTTTTTTTTACTTTTTTTCAAAGATTGGTTTAAGAAGGACTTGAACAACCTAGCCAAAACTATACCGATTTAGACTTATGAAGTATCATTGGAAAGGTATTTTCTCACCCTTTTTATATCTTTGTTGCAAATAAGCTCATTCAAAATATGAAAGAGAAAGGTAAAATGAGCGCCATTCCAAGTTGAATTAAGATGTGTTAATATTTGCAAAAAAAAAATAGAACGTGAATAAGTTTAAGAAAAGAGGTTTGCAATGATACCACTTAAGTTAAAATGGGCAGAATTTTGGCTGAGTTATTCAAGTTTTTCTTAAATCAATCTTTGGATAAACTTCAAAAACATGTTTCCCTTCAGGAGGCTTCCAGTAACAATAGCCAATTGTTTATTTAACCATTTTTAATACTAGCGAAGGGTGTTTTTAACTAATGCTGTTGGTTTTTAGGTAAAAATTCAATTACAAATTAATTAATTTTTAGATTTTCATGCGAATTACTAAAAATCCTAAAATATACATGTGACCAATAAAAAAAAAATTTCGACGTGCTAGAAAAAACCAGAGATGCATTTTCATTTAACATACATGCTTAGATATTCATAAAACGAACATAAGTACTTATTGGAGGGGGGAAGCAATAATTTAAATTTCGCAGGCCTGTGATATTTTTTTTTATTTCGAAATAAAAAAGCGGATATAATTCTATTCGGTATGGAACAATCCTAGGCAGTGAGAGTATTAAAGTACCGACTTTACTTATTTTTGACCACCCTAATGCACATACAAACAAACATACATATGTACATATTTATTATATGGATTGCCTTAAATTTTACTGCACCCAATGTCAGCTTGATTGCGATTTATTGAACTGCCACCACGTCGTAGGATGTTATTGGTTTGGTCTATTATAGATAAATTCGTACAGCTTTCCCATGCAAATGTGCCCAAAAGGCAGAAAAGATGTTGAAAGGAACTCATTTTTCGTTTGGGCCAAATGACGCTAATTGGAAATGCACAATGAAGCCAAGTGCTTTTTCACCTTGATGCCACCAGCGATTCTCTTATATTGAGTCTTTTCCAAGAGTTGGAGTAAGGTGAATATCTGGTATGTAGTAGAAGAAGACCCAATAAGTTCTTTGGCCGTGGGCTCGAGTTTTTTTTATCTTTTTTAATTGAGCAGAGTAGACTTAAATCCACATCGGCGGGAATGCATTACAAATAAATACTGCCATGATTCGGGCCACGCCGAAGTCGATCAGCCTCATTTCGTCTTCAGATGGCTCGTCACTTCTTTGCCCTGCCTGATATGTGCGCTCCAAGCCCTCATAGAATAGATTCCTGGACGGCTTGTCCTTATTTTCCTATAATCTGAAAGCTCATAAAAGCGATCTTTGACGGTATTTTCCTTCCCTTCCGTCGGCGCGTGGGCACAAATGAGTGAGGTTTTGAAGAATCCACAATATCTGCCGACGGAGCTTCGATACCGAGTTTGCAGAGATTTACAAGCCAGGCGTAACAGACGCCGCAAAGCTCTGTAGTCTTCTAACATTGCCCGTTCATTGCATCTCTTGAGTGGTGGTTATGCCTAACTTTGCTCTCACGAGAATATCAGCCAGTCGGTCAGAGGCGTCGTCTTCATAAAGCGAACACAACAACACTAATATTTTATAAAGAAAAGTTGTAACGTAATAGATTTTAATTCTAGCATTTATTAATTTTTTTTTTTAAAAAATCTTTCGCATTTGAAAAAGGTCTATTTTGTATAAGGCTCAACCCACTTCCATTCCTCCCACACCACACATTTCTGCTCCTTTTCCATGAAGGCATGATTTTCCGGGCATTGTATGTAATCGGCTTTCTCCTGACCATCAGCACATACCCAATAATGAGTCGGATCGGATATGTCACGGAACATGCGCGTATGATCAGTTACAATAGAACAATCTGGTTCGGCGTAGATGTCTTGACCGTGATAGCGTTGTTGGATGTGGATTGCACCGACCACAGCCACGAAGAGAAATACAGCAATTGGAACTGAAATTGAATTCGGTATTAAGCGTTTATAAGAAAGTGCGACACTTAAAAATGTCAATATGCTTACTCGCAAAACTAGGGACCAATTATAGTAAAAATTCGTTTTCAATTTTTCTTGCTTGCATCCGTATATTTTTTAAGGGTTTTGCCATTTTCGGGATATGAATAAATCAAAAAACTATTAAAAAAGGCGTGCATACCAGGTGTTCATAGAATTTGATGTGTAAATAAATTCGTACGGATTAGCAAAGCAATAGACGATTCAGTTACATACAAAAAAATATTTTAGGTTAGAAATTAAAAATTAATTTAATTTCATTCCGTTTGTCAGGAGCAGTACACGACTTTTGAGTGCAGGATTAGTTCCGAAGTAACTCAAAATGATTTCAAACTGTCCTAAAGTTATGCTGAAGTGGTTCTAAAAACTCCCTGAACTTGTCCCGAAAGGATATCAAACAAGTCTTGAAGTCCCTTAGTAATTTCGAAGGGTTTCTGAACTAGAACCGAAATAGTCCTGAAATAGTCCTGAGCTTATCCAAAATTAGTTCCGAAATGGTCCTGAACAGGCCGTGAAACATTCGAAAAAGTTGTGAACTTGTCCCGAAACGATATCGTACGCGTCTTGAAACGATACCGAAATGGGTAATTTCTTAGTTCCAAATGATCCCGAACTACTCCCAAAACAGTTCTAAAATAATCTTGAATTAGACCAGAAGTGGTCTCCGAACTAGTCGCTTAATGAACCCCCAATTTTCTTGAAATAGTCGTGAACTAGGCTCTGAATGGTCCATAACTAGTTTCAAAAAGGAACTAGTGTCGGAATGGTTCTGATCAGGTGCCGAAACGGGCTCAAAACTATCCTGAAATAGCCCTGAAGTAGTCTAGACATTTCCATCTGTACACACAAGAAACAATTACCAATTTTCTGCTGGGTTACACAAGAAGAAGCTACAAATTTTCTGCTGAGTTAACGTCCAGTTTACACATACCGAGAGCTAACTTTATAAGTTGAGGATAAAACAGTTATTTAAAAGGACATGTTCAATACCGATACGTCCTTGTGCACAAAAATATGGAATCTTTTTTCAATTGTACTGAAATTTCTCTTTGAAAACCATAATTATT